CATTGTGCGGGAACCTGACAGGTCATTCGCCCACAGATAATCTGAAAAAGAAAAAAAACGTGCTTATATTATCTGCATCCCTTCCATTAAAATGCTTTGAGTGTTGGCAATTTGGCAGTTCACATACTGACTGAATGTGTCTGCAGGAGAGCAAGTGTCTTCCCTCCTGGAGCTGCACATAGATCCAATACTGTGTGTCCTGGCTGGACGTCCAATGCTAGAACAGGCAGCACTGAGGCAGCATCCAGAAGATAATATCCCAATATGCCACTGCTGTCAGGTCTAAGTTAATAGGACAGATATATTAAACAATCAACTTGGGACACGGCAGAGAAATTAAAATTTTTAGTAATTCTCACCTAGCTGGCTTAAATCTAGATATGTCTCCTTTGGGGAAAACAAGACATTTTATATCGGGACTTATACTGGGTTGAAGAGCAGCAGGTTCGAGCTCTGTTGAATCTCTGTGAGAAGTCGTGGAGTCCTGTGAACATTGATGGACTTCATTTCTGGTGCAGTGAATACTGATGAAGTCTTTACATCCTTGAGCTTCTAATTCGGTTATTACATTGGGTGCTGAAGAGAAACTGTTTAACAGCGCTCCATACTTTTGTTCACACAGCATGGCAACTCTAATAGAGGGCCATAGGTCCCTTAACTGTTTACTGTAGCTTGTGTCAAAGTTGTGCAGAGCAAGTTCAGTGGCTGGAAACTTGGGCCTTGTTGCTGCCTAATACAGAGGAACACGATATCATTTTATGCTATCTATTTCTGACACTTTGTTTTTATTTTGAAAAGGAATGCAACCTCTTTACTTACCCATTTAGTTTTAACTCGATACCGTCGCTGAATAAATCTAATCGAGCCTTTAGATTTGTTTATACAAAGTTTGGTGCATACGTACGCTGCCATGTTTGTGTATCATCAAAAAGCGTCCGTTGTTTTTGTGCTCATTGGTTCCACTATCATGTTTTATATTTATCCACTATAATAATAAAGCTATTTTATTAAAAACCAAAACATCATATAATACATCATTTAGCCAAGCAGTTTCCCAAACAAGTGGCGTAAACCCATTCTTGAATTCACACACTGGTTTCAATTATTAGCTAGGTTTCATAATATTCGCGCGTACATGATACATGATTTCTTGTAAATATAACAAAATACGATTTTTAAAAAAAATTAATCAATCAACAAATTGTTACCAACAACATAATGTGGGTCTTTATAAAGCGATTATAACGTAAGAACGTTACAGAAAGGTTCTTTGTGAGCCCCTACTTACTATTGCGAAGGCTTAACTCATGGATATTAATAAGCTCATACTGACGTTGATTGCAACCATCCAATAACGTTCCTATTTAATATTCATAAGTCAAACCTTCACCATAGTAGAAATCATAAATTGGGGTCTCAGCATATTTTCCTCTCATAACGTTCCTTGTTCAGCTTCAGCCAGATTTTGCACCTTTATTGAGTTTAAGTGGGAATTTACGACATACAATTATGGTTTTTGAAAGAAAAGTAGTCACATATGGAGAGCCTGACGAGGTGGAGGAGGAGATACTAATTTCAGAATTTTTACTGTAACGTAACGTTAGTTTAAAGTGCATTTGAGAAGTTATGCAACTTACATGTACGTTATATGAACTGCAGGCAAGTCGTTGCTAACATGTTAGCTGTCTTGACCAGACCTGACATGAACATTACAAACTGTTCTGGCTGCTGTTATTTAGATGATTTGTTTACTAATAACCTATTCGTGTGGAAGAGTGACGTGTTTAATAATATGCACTTGGTGTACCTTAACTTTAACTATGAGATGAGTTTGACCACTCTTCAATACGCAACTTACGACACAAGCAGGCCTATTTTAAAAAGGGAGAAGAATAAGAAATAATACACAATTGATTTTGGCCGATGATTGGTTAAAGTAGTGTTCCAGCCGAAACACCTGTTCACCTCATTGCTGGGTAGAACCTAAAGCGGGATCTTTATTTTTGTTGCACAGCAAGGGAACATTTCAATGTGATTCTGCTTAATACATTTTCTTAGGTTTAATCAAGAGATGGTCTAAAGGTTTTTAAAAAAAAATTTTTTTAATAGTATTTATGCTATATTGTTATACAGGTGCATCTCAATAAATTAGAATGTCGTGGAAAAGTTCATTTATTTCAGGTCAGCAAAATTGGTTGAAGGCACTTCACTTAGAGAGTTTCAGGGAGGTTAAAGTATTATATTAGAATTTGTTATATTCAAGGACCCCTTGGTAAATAAAGAACAGATGCTCCTGTTAAATATCGTATAGAATAGTGTTGTAAACAACATTTATAATACTATATCAATGTATTTAAGTACTTAATGATGCTTACATTGCAAAGACATTAAAATGTTTATATAAAACACTAAGATACAATAATACCATTTTGGTCCCCAAAATTGTATATTAATATTTGTTAAATAGTTTCATGGTACTACATTTTTGCGTCTTTTCTCTTATTTGTAAAGGAACAGACAACAGCAGAGGAAGATGAAGGAAAAGATGGTGCCGATGAGGAGGAAGAAGAGATGGTGGTATGCTACTACAATATCTAAAATGTATAGGCTAAACATTCAATTCTTCTGTTATAAATGCATCTTTTTGGTTTAATTTTGAAAGAAAAAAAGAGACAAAAATGCTGAAGGAGAGGTAGTCATATAGATTAAAATGTGTCTGGCCCTCTGCAGGACCCCCTAGAAACAATAAGACAGAAATGCGAGCAGACGGCACATTGCATACATGCACGAGAAAGGCTAGAAGCTTGTGAAACTAGGTCACACGGTCACACACTGAGGAGGACTGCACAGAGGAGCTTTTCGACTTTCTACATGCACTGGACCATTGTGTAAGTCACACTTAGCAGCAGTTAAAAAGCTTTTTTTTTTTAAACTTAAATTTTTAGTGTCAGTTCTTTAAATGTGTTCTCTTAAAGGAATAGTTCACCCAAAAAAAATTAAATTCTGTCACAGTTGATACAAACCTGATGAATTTCTTTCTTCTGCTAAATACAGAAGATGATATTTTGAAGAATCTGAACAGTTGCTGGTAGGAAAAAAATGGGATATATATATATATATATACTGTATATATATAAAGTCAGTGGCTACTGTCAACTGTTTAGAACAACTTGAGGGTGAGTAAAAGACAATTTTCATTTTTGGGTGAACTTTCCCTTAAAAAAATATTGCTCCAGTATCATCATTGTCTTCCAGATTGCACAGAAGCTCTTCAGTTCAGTTAAATGAAGCCCCTCTGAGACGCTATCATCGTACTGCATTTCCAGTGGAGCATCTAGAGCTCCACAGATGTGTATTTAAAATGTACAGCACAAGCAACACCAGAGATCTAAAACTTGTGTTGTACATGTACAGAAAGTACACACATTTGTTCACATGTCTTTTGCTAAAAAAAATAAAATAAAAATCGATGTTGGCCAGAAACGGACTGCTACGTTACATCTACCCCTTTGTTCAGGGTCTCATTATTCAGTTTCTAATGTCAAATGCCTGTGAAACTTGTTCAGTTTATGTCTCAGTTGCTGAATCTTATGTTCATACAAATATTTACATGTTAAGAAATTTGCTGTAAATAAAGCAGTTGAATGTGAGAGGACTTTTTTTTGCGTGTAGACCCAATTGCAATTACACAGTCTCTCAGGGTGGCAGTAGACATTGCATTTTTAGTTGCTAGTTTCTCCTTGCTTTAAGTTAAAATCTTCTGTCACTGAGAATGTAATAATATGTGACCCTGGACCACAAAACCAGTCTTAAGTCGCTGGGGTATATTGCAGCAATAGCCAAAAATACATTGTATTTTTTGCATTGCTTTTTCTTTTATGCCAAAAATCATTAGGATATTAAGTAAAGATCATGTTCCATGAAGATATTTTGTAAATAACAGAAAAGCAAGCAGGAGCATGATTTGGCATGGCAGCCAATATAATAACCGTTTCCTTACCTAAATCCTGTGTTTGGACCAGGCTCAGCTGCAGAATCACATCACTTTGTGCTTCTGAAATTAGGCTATTATCTTTTTCTATATAGTGTAGTAGTTAGCT